CTTGCACCCTAACGACACCTTGTTTCACAGTTATTATTTCAGTATATCTTGCACCAAAACGACACCTTGTTTCACAGTTATTATTTCAGTATATCTTGCACCCTAAGAAATGATTGTCCAAATATGGGTATAAACGTATTTGTTCATTCACTACTGAGAACGTTAAAGAAAGTTGTACAAACTTATTATTCTCGTTTCATCTTTACAACAAAACATGGTGTCAAAAAAAACAAACGAAAACTATCCTATACGTTACTAAAACAGTAGCACATTCACATAGCCTGGATACCAGCGTGATTAGATAGATATAATTGACAGTTTGTTCCCGAGGTGTGGAGAGTAGCTGACACTCGTGTGACTTTGGAAATTTGTTTAAAATAACATAAGTAAAACATAGAAAATCACCAAACCTTGCATCCAAACGCCACTAGCTTGAGAATACATTCTATAAGGAAGAAAGCAGTGAAGGCCACGTTCATGTAGCTTAAGATATCTAGGTACAAAATGGTTGCTTTGTGGTTCTACACTCGGTGTGGTGTGAGGAAGAGCAGGAGAGAGAAAAACCGAAATGAAAATAAGAGGACGGTTGGAATATTAACCAGAACCATATTTTTTTAGGCTTACTGAAGGTAACAAATAATAAATTCAAGTAATATAAAAAACACAATGTTAATTAATCTAAAAATTTATGTTTATGTATGTTTGTATACTAGAGAAAGACATATTATTAATATCAACTTTTTGATTAATTATGAAAAAAAAAGCAATATTTGTTCGAAATGTTGACTGAGGAGTGTTTTCGAAATGTTGACTGATGAGGTATTGCTTGAATTATATTGAAACGATTCCTATTTTGTTCGAGGAAAACAACTTAAATTCACGAAACCTTTCAAGTGTCACAGTTTTAAAAATCTCAATATTCGCAATGTTCAACTACTGAATACGAACGAACAACTGTTTCATAACATTTAATAATAAGAAGAAACAAACCATTTTTTAGCAAAGTAAGAAAAGTTATTAAATCAGCCACGACTATGCAGCTAACTATAAAAAAAAAAAAAATCCTTGCAAGCATAATGCATAAACGTATAGGATAAAACCATGCAATGTGTGTGCTTATCGTGTCAGGGTTAATAAATGAGGAAGCATGTCCGTTCTCTTCAGATATATTAAACACATCAGCTTATGTGGTCGTTTAGTGTTTGGAGGTGCTATATTAAATAAGATCATGCAAAATAAATATTGGTTGGTAAACTAGTTTGACCCCGATTAATTAAAAATATTCGTTCGTTGTTTCATTTCTTCTTCTGATAACATGGAATAAAACGTATGTATTAAATTACTTTACAACGTTCAACGTGATGTGGTTGAACTCTAGGCATCTCGAGGCTACCTGGGTTTTCAGCTAGATGAATGTTAAGCCTTTTTTAAACTGTGTAGTTAAACGTATCACAGCACGCATCGGAACTTTGACAAGACTAAGACTAAAGATTCGAGTCGATAAACTGCTGAAGTACAAAATTCAGCGACACAAACAAAAACCTGGCTAACATTCAGTTTTATTGAAACAAGTCACATGCAGCAAACCAAGCTAACTAATGTTTGTTTAAAGATGAGAAAAGTCAGTTCATGAATAATAGATATGCTATGCTACTGAATTCAGGCTAAAGTAAAATAAACTTACACAGGCCACTTCAGTTCTTCAACATAGTAAAACTTGTTCTTAAACTAGAGGTGGTCAAGAACGACAACTAAAAAAAATTATTCTTAAACTAGAGGTGGTCAAGAAAGACAAACAAAAAAAACTTGTTCTTAAACTAGAGGTGGTCAAGAACGACAAACTAAAATAAAACTTGTTCTTAAACTAGAGGTGGTCAAGAACGACAAACTAAAATAAAAACTTGTTTTTAAGCTAGGGGATGGTCAAGAAAGACAAACTAAAATAAAACTGGTTCTTAAGCTAGAAGTGGTCAAGAAAGACAAATTAAAATAAATATTGTGTTTAAGCTAGAGGTGGTCAAGAAAGACAAACTCTCTTGAATGGCACCCAAAATATACTGAATCAAAACATTCAGAATTATTTATATTTTCATGACACGCGGCTCAATTCGACTTACACGACCCAAGATCGGGTTTTATGTTTTTTGTTTTCGAGACAAAATGTTTCGGACTCAAAAACAGCAAGGACTATCGTATATTATGGGTGTTTCACAAGAGGGCGCCATTCAGACGAGTGTTAGCTAACTTGACTAGGTTCTCTCCTTACCCTGACTCCAAAAGCAGCTAGCTTCAGGATACACTCTAGAGTAAAGAGCGCAGTGAAAGCAGCGTTCATGTAGTGCAGAGTTTTCTTGAAGAGATCACTCTGATTGTGAAACTAGACATAAAGTAGACAGCAAATATTGTAAAACAACATCGCGAAACATTAAGGGTGTTGTAAGAACGTTCTCATTTAAAAAAAGATAACTTAAAACACAAGTAAGGATTTTTTGTGTCTACTTTAACTGATAAAAACGTCTTCGCTGAAAGGTTAGTTTTACAGAAATGTTTATATAGTTGTGCTTACGTTAACTTAATTCTTTGGTATCATGTAACACTTGTCTCTGTTATTCGTGCACCTAGCAACCATATGTTTAACAATTACAGCGATCATTGTTACGTGTGTTTCTACAGTGGTCATAACTACAATTAAACGATAGAGTTAATGGTGAACAATGATTATTGTTTCCTGGGTGACAATGAAACATATCTAAGTGTTTAGCGGGGATTATGTTACCGAAACTAAATAATGATTAATAACGCTTTGGATTCGGAAACTAAGTAGTGCTTAATAACGCATTGGATATGGAAACTAAGTGGTGATTAATAACGCATTGGATATGGAAACTAAGTGGTGATTAATAACGCTTCTGATATGGAAACTAAGTGGTGATTAATAACGCTTCTGATATGGAAACTAAGTGGTGCTTAATAACGCTTCTGATATGGAAACTAAGTGGTGCTTAATAACGCTTCTGATATGGAAACTAAGTGGTGATTAATAACGCTTCTGATATGGAAACTAAGTGGTGATTAATAACGCTTCTGATATGGAAACTAAGTGGTGATTAATAACGCTTTGGATATGGAAACTAAGTGGTGATTAATAACGCTTCTGGATATGGAAACTAAGTGGTGATTAATAACG